GAAGAATAAACGCGCAACCACGTAGCCCTTAACTCCAGAGCCACAAACCCTTGTAGGACCCTTCTAGATTAGACCCTTGAAAGGACGACAGACGTGCACAAGCCCTACACGTAGCCCTCTAAATCCTAAACCAAGGTTTCCGACATCCTCTCCACGCCGCGGGACGCCTTTTCACCCCTGTCGCCCGCCCCTCACGCGGCCGAAGAAGCTCGAGGTCTCTCTGAGAATCCAAAAGTGGCTCTATAGGGGTTTAGGATTTGTAGGGTTTTGGAGCTCTCTGAGAACCCAAAGTGGCTGTAGGGATTAGGGCTTAGGGGTGAGATCTGAGGGGTTTAGGGATTCTGGTTCAAGGTTTCGGGCTTATGTCTTAGATTAGGGTGTAAGGTTTAGGGTTTAGGGTCACAGCTGAGAACCGAGAGTGGCTGTAGGGAGAGAGTTTGGGATGCAGAGGGTTTTACGGGGTTCAGGAAGAATTGGTGAGGATGACGAGTTGTTCTGTTTGGAAGGGCTACTGATTTCCAAGGCGCGGTCCCATTCTCGATGCTCTCGTATAGACTGCCTGTCCTTTGCTCCAGAAGCTACTGCCTACTGGAGCAGCGCATAGAGTCTGTGGTTGCAGCACAGGGTTTGTAGGTGCAGTGGACCTCTGGACCTCACAAAAAGGCCTCAGTGTGCAGTGCACTGTTCGACCTTGGTATGCCCACCACACTAGCCAGGTATGTTCCAAGCTGTGCCTCTGCCCAACGCTAGCCAGGTGAGCTCTGTGAGCATTTGCACGGGCTTGTAGTGCTCGTAGTATTGGAACCCTGCTGCCTTAGAAAGAAAGGTATGCATAGGTTGCAAATAGTGCAAACTAAAGGCGCAGCAAAGGCACGAAAAGCTGGAGTACTGAGATCTGCAAACGCACAGAAAAGTCAAAGGAAAGGCTAGGAAAGGGTATTCTTTCGAGCTGCATAGGTGAAACTTTCTTGTCCCCACAGAGGCTCGAACTAAGGGTTAGAAAAGGAAGGAAGCACAAGGTAGTAGACTTAGTAGATGCGGCAGGTGCGGAGTCCAGTGAGACCACTAGTGTTGTCCCTTTCATTGCCGTTCATCTGACTGTTTGCCTTTCGTCTGCGTTTCATCTGCCTCTCGTCTGAGTGTTTAGTTGTCTTTTATTGATCTTTGTTTTGTATTTTACCTGCCTTTTGTTTGCTTTTGCGGTAGTTATCGGTTTGCCTTTCTAGTGCCTTCCATTCTGTTGCCTTCCATTTGCCTTTCTATTGCCTTTTCCTGTTCTTCAACGCCTGGTTTCAGGACAGTCTAAGGACGAAAGGGTTCCAATCATAGTATTGCTTTTGTGGGAGAAACAAAACAATAAACGAGCTGATACATGAACATATATGTATGTACACATACATAGATACATGGGACATACAAACATGTATGGACGTATGGGTGCATGCGTATATAGACATGTTTGTATGTATGCATGTGTGAACGTATGTAGGTATGTATGTATGTATGTATGTAGGCAAGTAGGTATGTATGTACGTTTACATGTTTGTATATACATACATACATACATACATGCATACATACATACAGACATACATACATACAGACACACGCCGACAAAGTAAAATCCTATAACCTTCTTATCGAACCTTTTGGAATCCTAGAAGCTTGGTCTAAGCAAAGAAAGCCATGCCCCCAAAGACTATCATTTAGCTCCCACAAGAGTATACTGGACAAGGAAGTTCATGGAAACAACAAAAAACCTATCACCATCAGAAGGAAGGCCCTAATCGCAACCGAAATGAAGTTCTAGTCAAACCAAGCCAGCAGAATGAGGCTTGCAGACGAAGATTCACTCGGCCCTGATGCGTTTGCGCTGTAAGGCCCTGCTTCCTTGGAGCTCTGGCCTCAAAACGGTGGACGGTGTAGTAGGATGAGGCGTAGGGCTTAGAGTCTTAGAGTTTAGGATCTGCGGTTTCAGCAAACCACCCAAAGAGAGCAGTCCCCACTTATCACGGAGTATTCCTTCAGCAACAGGCGGCTTAGCACTAGGATTTAAAGGCATGCATTCTTGAATTAATGGGTATTGGGCTCTGTGCGAGCAAGGTCCTGCAATGACAAGTGCAAGGCTTATGAAGGTTTCCTTCCTTACCAGTGACCCCCCGTCCCCTCCCCCAATATTCAGATTGACAGGGGCCTTAATATTGTTGAGTATTGGGGCAGGTTTGGGTTGGTTTTGTTGTCCGCAGAGCTCAAAAACGAAAACAAAGGTCAGGAAAAAACCGTAAGCCAGAGAGTCCAAGCCACGAATCCGCAGGCGAGTCTTGGTTTCACGCCCTGACATATGTGTGAATGTAAGTATGGGTATATACCTGTATATATGTATACACATATCATATGTGACCGCATGAAATTAGCTATTGGTAGTATTGTGTTACAGGCCCCAACGATTGCAGATTTCGGAGCAGCTCCAAGCAAAGTTAGCTTCTGGCATCTCGAAGGTAGAGTATGAAAAAAGCTATGATACTAGGGCTTGGGTTTCCAAGTTTGCATCATCGCATGCGTTCAGAAACAAAACCCTTCAGTGACACAGTATTCCTCAGAAGTTTCAGGAATGTTCCTGATAAGCAGTATACCATCGGCAAACTACAGGGGGGGTGAGTCTTTGGGTGAGTGAACAGCATGAAGACCAGAGCATACACTCACCGCAGTAGTGTTTGGGGTTTTGGGGTTTTGCAGGGTTTGGTGTTGAGTTGAGGTTATTATAGTGTCTGGGGTTCAGGGCTTAGCGTAAAGTTTTATTTAAAGGCTGCATAACCTTTTAGGGTGCATGTACCCAAAAAGTACATACTTTGGGCCCAAAGTGCCTATGTAGGGACTACTTGAAGACCAAAGTGTATAGTATGCTTAGGGTAATGCACAGGTACTTCGAACTTTAGGGCTAGCACGAAAAGCCGAGGACATGCACTGCGAAGAACCTGTGCCGCGGCCATGTTGTTTAGGGCTTATAGGGTTTAGGATTTAGGGTTTAGGGTCATGATTATAGAGCGGGGCTCGAGGCTCTAATTTATTTTCACTTCCGACACTGTACTGTAGAAGTTGGACGCAGGCTTTGGGTTGAAACCTGGGTGCCGAAGATATTTCGGATTCCGGAGGGTTTGTAATGTTCGGGATCCGGCTCATCCTTGCAACGTTTCGGTATGTGAAACATAATCACTAATACAGGCTGAGCGACTGCTACAGCAACTACTGCATTTACTGCGACAGACTCTTGCCAACACCTTAAGTATGAGCCTAGGCCCTTAGAGGGCTCGAGTTTGGAAAACATGAGAGGCTTGGTAGCCAGGTGATTGTCTCAAACCAAGCTCTATCATGGAAGCACGCTGTACGGTTTAGGAATTGCGTGCTTGAGGCAAGTGGGGGAGAAGCTGGGTTAGAAGGGCGTTCCCAGCCATCCAAGACACCTGGGGCCAACCCTAAACCTTATAAACCCTAAACCCTAAACCCTTACACTCCAAACCGTTGCTTGTCTCCTATGCCCTGCTTGCTTGGGCTTAAAATACGCGCGCCACGACTCCCCCAAAACCAGGATTTGTGTATAACTCTCAGTGTTAATACAAGTATGAATGTATAATACTGGTACCGATACATACATACATACATACATACATACATACGTACGTACGTACGTACGTACATACACACATGCACACATACGCATATATACATATACACATATGATATATAATTATATATATATATACATAGCGTATGTTTCGGAACCCTACGGCCTTCAGCTCTAGGTCCGAAAAACCCCTGAGCCCCGCAAGCGCTGACCTGCTCATGAGACCAACGGTCCGAAGGAAGAGATCTGGTCTCGAATTCTACAATAGGTGAAGGTGAGGATTTAAATCTTGGGTTTAGGCTTTAGGGTTTTAGGTTTAGGGCTTTAGGGTTTTAGGGTTTAGGGTTTAAGGTCTAGGGTTAGGGATTCAGAGCGTATGATCTTGGCGGTCGGCATGTCCACTAAACGAGGGAAATTTCATGGACTTTAGCTGCAAAGGTAAGTATCATCTATGTACTTGGAGCCTTCCGGACAGCAGCGGAGGCTACCGCGATTGTGGGGAATTAGCAGAATGTTGACTTTCTTTTTGCAGCTGATCGATGAACACATGTATTTATGGTTGAGGGCTCAGAGCATAGCTCCCAATCAAGACACATGTCCCACAGAGCTACCCCAAGGGGTTCAGGCTTTAGGGTTATATTCCCCTCAAGAATTGCTGCTTTCGGTGCGCCCAATCCCCTGCAAACACCGGGAGCAAGGCACATGTCCTACATCATCCTAGCCCTCTTCTTCTTCACGATGATTCTGCTGAACGCGATGGTTTGTGCCACTGGCCGGCTTCGGATGATGTTGTAACTGAGGTATCGAGTGAACGAGTTCGCGGTCTTGCAGCTGATAGGGCAAAGGACTTAAGTTAGCTGATTCAGGTTTGGGGCTTAATATAGGGGTAACAAGGGATGACGGTGTTCCACGGTTTTTGTTGAGAGTTTTCTGGGTTGTAACGAGTGTTGTAGCGCTGACGGAAGACTGCCGAACCCACTGCATATAGGGTTACGTCATACATCGAACATCCAAAACCCAGGCCCCGGTCTGAGACGTTGGTGATCTTATGCCTGTATAGTCCCCACAAGCTTATGTAGTTCCCCTAAGGCCCTAAAGCAGCAACAACTCATACTCTGACCCTGCTTAACCCCTATACACCCTAAATATATGAAAGCCTTTGCTCTGATCTGATTCTTCCGGCCTGCCGAATATACCAGCAACCGAGGCAGTGAAGATCGGAGCTCTCCAAGTCTAGGGCAAAGGCATGCTTTCTACTTTTCCTTACCGGTTGAAGGGGAATCTTCTTTAGGATTCGTTCAGCAGGTTTTAAGAAGTTTTACGGGCAACAGGTTCCGAGATATGTTCTCTGCGGAGCCCTTTCCAGCACCAGGTCGTGATGGCTTTCAGCCTCTGTCGTGTCTCTTCTTCGCCCTACGTTGCCCTGTTCACCTGGCTCTTGCTGCCTGGCCGCCGCACGGTTTTCTTCTTTGAGGGTCTGGGGTTACGGTTTCGGGTTCCGACTTGGGCCACTAGGCTTGGGGTTTCAACCTTAACTACCTGAAGCCCTAAATCGCTTGAAAAGCTTGGTCCGAAGTTCATTACGACGACCCATTCTATGTGTCTGCAAACAGGATGTTTATCGAAATAAGTCCCTTTCCTTGGGCGGCGTTGGCGAAGTGTTGTTGTGGAGAGAAAAGTTACAGTAAGTGTGTAGGTCAATACAGCAAGTGTTGAGGGCTCAGGGTTTAGGGAATCCGTCGACAGGCGGTTGTTATAGACGGAAGCTAACCTACCACTGCCGAACCAAGCAGCATCATGAGCGCTCCTTGATGTCGATCGTCTCTCTCGCTATATAGTACGACTATAGGTCTTTGCGAATCATAATGTCATACGTAATACTATCAGATTCCATCTGCGCAAATTCGTTACCACAGGTTTCATCACTAATTAAGTAATTGTTGCTACCAGAACCCGTGTCATCAGCATCAGCATCTCAACCATCCACGGCATCACTCCAAACGCCTTCACAACCTCAAGCCTGGGCTGTTGTCAGGTTGCCGACGCCCTTTGCGCCAATTCTCTCGCCATGTATAGGCGCAAGTGAGTTCAGGGACCTGAAGAGGTAGGCTTGACCCAAACCCTGCACCTAAAGCCCCGAAATCCTCAACCCTAAACCATACACCCTAAGCATCGAAACCTTGAACCCTAAACCCAGAGGACTATAGTAGGGCTTCCCTCTGCAATGCAAGAGGGAAGCCCTAGGCCCTAAGCCCCCAAGTCCTCTAAACCCCAGCCTCGGCTTCAGACTTAAAGCCTTTCAAAGCCGTTTTCGGCGCTGGGCGGAGCTCTGCGGATTTAGGCCTCCGCTCCTCTTTAGGCATCTACCCACACTATTCCCGAGAGCTCCTTAGTCTTAGAGCCATACTGTTACATGACCCAAGCCCTATTCTAATTATTAAGGCCGCTATGTTATTGGAGTATAGATCCTTCGAGACGGTTTACTCCAAGATCCAAAGTGCAGCTTGCATGCGCTGTCTCTCCACACTCAACGTTATCTTGCACTTCGACTTAAGCCTTAATGAAGACCATACCAAACCCTTCCAACACATGTAGAGGGAACCCGGTAGTGGAAGCTGGAGCGCTGTCATTAACTAAGGTAGCCGACAGCGGGACTTGAATGATTGGGTTTGGTATTATTCTGAGAGTTTAGCTTTGCAAACATTCTAGAGGTCTCGATAGTGGTTCTACATAACCGTTTCAATATAACAGCACCGGGCAGCTGTATAACCCTTAAGGGAACCTGCAAAGATCCCTTTAGAGAATCGTATAAAACTCTATTAGACCTGAACTGCCCCAAAACCCCAAGCGCCAAGCCCTGAGGCTTGCGCGCCTGCATCGTTCGAGTCGCGAGAGTCCAAACCCTTGAACTCTCAATCGAAAATACAGGCCTGATGTTCAGAGTTTAGTTTAAGTTCGAGTTAACACAATGGCGCTCTTTACAGAAATAGGTGTCCCCATTATGGTAACTTAAACTAACTAACCAACTCCTTAGCAACAGCCCAAACGGCGAGGCTTTTCGGCGCTCCTTCTTAAGGAGGCGGCCTGGGGACGAGTGCATGCTGAAATTGCGTGGCATGGCTGAAGGTTTACTGGCTTCTTGTTAAGGCATATAACTTATATACGCTGCCATATTAAGGAAACCATATGACGCCCTATAGATCCCCATTATGGTATCTTAACAACCCAATTCTGTAACAACAAGGTATACATGGGGTTTGGCGTGTGGGCTTGCAGCAATTGCTTTCTTTTTTTTTTAACGGTAGGGTTGTTGACATAGGGGTAGCTGGATTAGTGTTCAGGGTTCCGTTTAAAGTTTATGTTTCAGGGTCTAGGCTTCGTGTCCTCCTCCATAGTGGGCTATCAAAGTCTATAGGCTCCCTTGCAATATGAAGGCGCCTACACATTATCTGGCAACTTCTCCTAGCTAGGCTTCCGGAAACCGGTCTTCAAAGACTGAGGTTCAGAAGCTTTACCAATGCGCTGCTGACGAGCATTGCCTTCTATCAGGTGGGCAGTTTCCTATCCTAAACCCGAAACCCTAAACCCTAAACCCCTAGGTATTGAAGGGCCGGTTGCTGGCACAAAACTCCGCCCCAAAGGGCCAAGTACCCAAGAACTAGGAGCTTGGGTCCATGGCTGCAGTAGTATCGGGGCCTTGAGAATTAGAATAGGGTTTGGGGGTATATTATACTACAACTATAGTAAGGAACCCCCCTAAACCCTGTTCTGGACCAGTAGGTCTGGAGATCTTGGCTGGAGTCATTGAGCCATTATTGCGGCATGTGTTCCGAAAAGTTTGCTGGTTGCCACAAAGGCGAAGAAACAGCCTACGCCTTGGTTTTGGGGTTTAGGGCGTATGGGTGATTGCACAAGCCCTGGTGCAAAAAAAAGGGTGTAGGGGTTTGGGGTTTGGGGTTTTACGAGTTGTGGGGTTTAGGGCGAACCCCTGAAGCGCTAAAAGCCCTAGACCACCAAACGTTCAACCATAAATCTTGAGCCCTTGTAAACCCTTAAACAGCCCTCATTCAGTGCAAGGAGCCTTAAAAAGAGCTTTAAACTCTCTAAGCAGCCCTTCAGCTCTAAGTCTAAGCCCCCCTTTCCCCTATAGCTTCCAAGGACCCTATAGTTAGGGCCCTAGACCCCTTAAGGACCCAATAATAAGGTCCCAGGAAGCATAGGGTTTCATGAAGCCCTAAACCCTCAACCCTAAACCCTACAACCTAAACC